TTCACGGTTCAGGCGGGACCGTTTACTAGGAAACCCTAGCCGTGATAGTGTTGCGGTGAGGATCATTTCTACTCTTGTTATCGTTACTACGGTTATCATTGTCAGTCCATCTATTGATGTTTCACCTCTGCATCATTAACACTATTGGCTATTCCAATCCTTACTAGCAGCAGGGGGAGGAGTAGTAGTAGACAAGCAGCAGTTGTGGTGGTGGTGGCGGTGGTGGTTGTCCTGGTGGTGCTGGTGGTGGTGGTGGTGGTGGTGGTGGTGGTGGTGGTGGTGGTGGTGGTGGTGGTGGTGGTGGTGCCATTTCTTGGCATTGGCATGGCTCATCCTGAGTATTATTTAAGTATTTTCGCGATTGCTGTTGCTGTCACCCTTACTCTTGCTCTTGCTTGCATGTTTCCAATTGTATGTACGTTTTCATGATTTTACTCTCTAGTATCAGAATTGGTACTTCTACTGCCGTTGCCAAAACTGTTGCGCATCAGCGGTTACAATCACTACTACTCCTGCTATTAGTTGTACACTTGTAACCATTTGTTCGTATTGGCACCATATGATTGGTTTGACTGCTACAGCCTCTAGAACGACCAATCTGTCAAGGGCAGCCAGAAGCAAAAGCCAAGCAATCCGAGGCACCGAGGCATCCAAACAGCTGAGAAGTCGTTCCCATTCCCACGATATCAAGGTCAAGCCTGTCGATGAAGCAGATGAGCGGCCGTTCTGCATCCCAGAGAAGATGTCAAGATATCTCAGAGATGTCACTGCTACAGAAGCGAAACAGGCTACATGCTTCAGAGGTGCCAGTGACAAGATTTGTTTCCTGTGCTCAGGTGCTGAAGTCTGAACTTGTAGCTGTGAGCAGCGACGGTTCCAAGATCCGAAATGCAGTTCAGTACCTCAGTACACCCTGTCCAGTTCCCTCATCAAGTCGACCGTTGGCGCCTGTCTACTTACGCATTGCGTGCCGCAGGTTTGACAGCGTCTTCATTCCGTGAATGGGAAGGTGGTTAGAGGTTAGAAGTGAGTAGGGGATAGTGGACATCAGGGCGATTGCCGCCACGAGTAACATGCGAGTCCACGAAGCTGCTTGCGCTTCACTAGTTGACGACGGTCAGGATGGGCACAAGGTGCCCGACTATCGCACTGCTGACATCGCTGAACAGTCAAGGGAAGAATCCATTGGACACATGCGCCTGCATCTCGGGCATAGCGTACTGTCAGAATCTAGCGACCACACCCTCTTAGGAAGCATGTGCCTCGCGGTCCTGCTGAGTGAGTGTTTCGGACCACACTCATACAAGTATAACAGCTTGGAGTTTCCTGCTGCGAATTTCAACCACTCAGAGCTGCAGTAATTAAACTCCTTTCGGGAAGTGCTGCTGCAAGCTATAAGAGTCTTCTTCCGGTCGCGGCTGATGCACCAAATAGTGCTCGTAGGTTATTATGCGTGTTCCGAAGAGGATCGACACTACAACTGCAAAAGCTGCTCCGGTTAGTTGTATCAGAACTAGCGTGTGTCGAATCCCTAGGCGTGGAGAAGTCGGGGAAGTGCTGCCAAGGCCACATCTAGCTCCACACCGCAGGGGTGCGAGAGACGGTAAGGGAGGAGGGACACAGCTAGGTCAGCTGGTAAGTCGGCAGCTGTAGCAACGCAGTGCTCATCCTGGCCAGCCTGGATGGCTCTGAGGAGCCTTCAGTAATTATTGACAGGACCCGGAAGGGCGAAACCTAAATCTGAGCACATGCAGCAACTACACCATTGATCTTTGCATTTGGCTTTCCTGCTGATGTTTCAAAAGAGGTGAAGCATGGTGAAGCTACATCGTTGCCCGCACACCCTCCGAAAGCATGGTGCCAAATAATCGGCACACCTGGTATACAGATGTTATGACCATGACGGATCTGTCACATTGCAAAAGTGGACTTAGAACAAGCCATGAGCGCCTGTGCCCTTCAGAATTGCAGAACCTTTGCGCTTCATGTAGTACATGTCATTCGGGAAGGCTTGCACTCTATGCAACAACTCCAAGGTCGCACCCCCTTTAGCGATGACATGTTCAGCGAGGGTTCGGAGTAGCGTTGTGCGCTCAACTGAATCGGGGAGTTTCGGATTGATTTCGAGGTGGTCGAGCTTTGCGCCTGCTTCGGGCCCTGCGAATACTGTTTGTCACAGCTTTGCTGTGTTCGTGTTACCGTCGATGGAAAGTGCGGTTTCCAGGTTATGGGATCGCATGTGCCTTAGAAAAGGCATGAAACGGAGAGGACGGCGAGTTCGCTTGAAACTGAGTCTCACGTGTTCCGTCCGGCAAGCCCCAAGGGTGTCCACAGAAGCGTTTTGATGTAGGTTTCGCGCACATGCTAAAACTATCCAAAACTTCTTCGAAGGGTTGCCTTCTAGCTTGATGCATGAAGTGCTGGTCTGAGTCGTTGGAGCGTCCCACCACTGTTCGTTTCAGCTTGTCCTCGTCTGATCTCACTCATGGAGTTAAGGTTCAAGAAGAGGAATTGGAAATGCGCTCCGCAATGAGATCCCACTGTGTTGTTCATTGCTTGCATTTAACCGCAGACAGCTTCGTGCTCGGCGCAATTTTGCCGGCCCGCGGCGACTCTGAGCAGCCCAGACGCAGAAACCTAAAAACCCATTCAACAAGCACCATCGCAGCCATATCCTTCGTGAAGCTGGAGGTGTCTGAGCTGGCTCATCGACCAGAGGCCAGCACTTGCCCCCAAAAGAGTTCGTGCTGCGCTGCTTGTTTTGGCAGAAAAGAGATCTCCATTGACGGGTGCCGAACTCAGGAATCAGGATACAAGGGCAAGCAGCTAGCACTGCCACTACTGCAACAACCACCACGTCGACCACGACGACTTACTACTACTAGTACTAATTACCAGTACCATCACTACTACGACAAGTACGACTACTACTCCTTCTCCTGCTCAACCATACTCCTACTACTCGTGCTAGTATTAGCACCACCACTACCACTGCCACCATCACTATCACTACTATTACTACCTACTGTTCCTGTTGCTACTACTACCACTATAGTACTACTACTCCTCCTCCTGCTGCCGCTGCTCCTACTACCACCAGGACTACGGCGATGACTACTACTACTACTACTACTACTACTGCTACTGCTACTGCTACTGCTACTGCTACTGCTACTAATACTACTACTGCTGCTGCTACTGCTAGTGCTACTGCTCCTACAACAACAGCAACAACAACAACTACTACCACTACTACTACTACTACTACTACTACTACTACTACTACTACTACTACTACTACTACTACTACTACTACTACTACTACTACTGTTACGGCTACCACTACTACTACTACTGCTACTACTACTACTGCTGCTACTGCTAGTGCTACTGCTCCTACAACAACAACTACTACTACAACTGCTACTACGACTACTGCTACAATTACTGCTACTCCTACTGCTCCTACTACTACTACTACTACTACTACTACTACTACTACTACTACTACTACTACTGCTACTGCTACTACTACTACTACTACTACTACTACTACTACTACTACTACTACTACTACTACTACTGCTACTACATCGTCATCATCCCTGTCATCATCATCATCAACATCATGAACTGTAAAGTGGCATGATCTGGCACCCGGACAACTGCAGAACCAAGGAGCTCTCTTAACATTTTGCGACTTTTTTAAAGAAACACACGGGCTTCTCCCAGTCACTTGTCCAGTTCTCATATCGCCACGGCAGACTCCGCACATCGGCGTCCCAAACGAGTGAGGAACATAAATTTCAGCCGCGCAGCATCTTCATTGTGTAAACGCACACAACTCGCGCTCAAAATGAATGACCGTGAGCAGCTCTGCCAGCTTCACGACAGCTCCAGGCAATCAGGGAAGCTACTGCTTGGGCTTGCAGATCATGACAGAGCATGCAAAACTCGGAATACTAACACACTATAGAGTCGAGTAGTCGAGGAAGAAACGAAGCACACCATTTGTTGCTTTGTGTTGCAGTCGGCTACTGTCCCCATACAACCATGGCAGAGTAGCTGGCCAACGTATCCCTAATCCATGCTGTGCTGCAAGTCAAAGAAGTTTCCCTGATTGTCAGTAACAGCGGGGGAAGCCCAACATCTGCACGATGATTTTGGGCTGTGTTCTGAAGGTTATTCACTGCCCCACAAGAGCGGATAGCGGGGCTTGGGAAGGTTTTTGCAGCTTCATGAAATTGCCACAGCTTGCCTCCTGTACCACCTCCAAACCTGATTAAAACATCGGGGAGCTTATTATCTCAGGGGCAGCAGCTCTTCCTGCCATGAGTTCAAGCCTGATGAAACAGGCACAAAATCATGCAAGGCCCTGAATGACCTGATTATTGCTTTTGGCTTCCCGCCATTGCACAGCATTTTTCCGTAGCATCTGTGTTGGTGTACCGTGAGATTGCTTTAGCCGTGGACTGTTAACCCCGAGGCTCCGACAATCCGCTACTTCAGCCATAGAAATAACTTGAACTATGGGGTGAATGCCCAGACAGGACTTAAGGTATATTCCTTAATCCAAGGGTTCGGGAGTCTTTGGGTGCCGCAGTGTTTGAAGACTGACTTATCTCGTTTCGCCGCCATGCTGAGAGTTTGCAAGTGTCCTGACAATCCCCAAGAGATACGTGAAGTTCCCATACGCTATTCATGGATAGTTTCGGGAGCCCCTGCACTAGATCCAAAGAAGCACACGACCTCGAGCTGCGCTACAGAGGGATTCGTCAGGATCGAGGCTGAGGCTGTCGGGCCACAAGCGTGAGCGTGAGCGTGGAAAAGCCAGATGCTGCAGCTGCCTGTTGCTTCAACAAGTCTAGGACTGCCATCCCGAGTGATGCGGTGCCCCTGGCGGTTAATATGCTCGATTCACGATCTGGATGTCGCGATGTAGAAACAGCAGGGCAGCAGCAAACATGACGTTCCGTCCCTGTGACCCCAGACCCTACCAGGAACTACCTGCTTCTGGCCATCGTCGTCGTAGCGAATGCCAGGGCATCCTGCTGGGCCGATGTAGAAATGACTTTATACGCAGCTAGGCTTGCAATTCTACACAGAGTTCTGTGTTCGTCAGCACAGTCTCGAACAGGAAGTTAGGTGCTGTTACTCGTGCCAAAGCTTGGATGTCATTCAACAAGGCTTGCCCATTGGATTAAGCACGTGTTATGGAGGCTTGCTCCTTTGCATTTCGACTGTCAGCTAGGAGGCCCTGCCGTAATCGAACCGAGGTGCCGATGAGGGATGGCTTAGAAGCAGGCCGGCTTCGGAGGGCATCTCACCAGGGACTGTGGCTTGAAGCTTTGCTAGAGAAAAGTACGGTTACAGAACTGCGCCAGTAAAGCGGTGAGCCTCGCGAAAGATAGTACAGATGCATGAAGGCCTTGGACACCCTTGCCTGACACGCTTTTGCTTCTATCCAGCATGATAATGCAAGCAAAGCCTTGCCAGCCAAACTCCAAATCTGAATCGAGGCATGGTGGGGCTCTTCGCAGATTGGCGCGACATCTGTGTTCCGACGCATCTCGAGGATGCCACGTGCTCAGGCAGCACGGAAGCCCCGAAGCTCTGACCCGAATCCTTCCTTGACATCAGTGATAACCAGATGCCCGGATGTGCTGTTGGAGAATGGCGAATGTAGGATTATGCCGATTGTGCCTAAGGATACTTGGTGTTCTGCTCGATGTGGCCGACATTCTGCGGCTACGGCGGTGGTCGGTGTTCGATGCTGTGCGAAGCTTGCCTTGTTTAGTGCTATCGGGGGCTGTCTATCCTGGATGCAGAATGAGTGTTTGCAGTGAACGGGTACTCGGTGATCACACATGTCACGTTGTACATGACACGCGTGATGCGGCGGAAAGTCCGTCAGTAGTCTTTCAGATGACGGAGGAACCCATGGAGTGGTGGTCAGTGCTAGCTAGGACCGATAGCCGGTAGAAGAGCCTAGTGTTGCCTTGCTGCCCTTGCTTGTTCTTCTAGTTGAATCCAAGATCCTGTCTTGTGCTGTCTTGGCTCAGCTTGTAAGACCCATGGCTATTCCGGCTATCCCCAACAGCAGGTAGCAAAGGCCCCTTGCATGGCTTCAGACGGCAAATAGTTGTGGCAAAGCGAGGCAAAGGTGAGAGGACAGTTGTCAACTTCGATCTTCGCGACTCGCGCCGCCACGACGGAGGCTTCCGACAGGCTCCTGTTGGGCGGGCACAAGCATCTGGTAACAACCGCTTCTGAACTTTACTGTCCTGGCCAGCAGAAGTGGAAGTGCAGGGGGTGGAGGCGCAGACCCAGGCTTTCGGCTCCTCTCCTGGAGCACAACTTAAACCCCCAACCAGATCCTAAACCCTGCAGAGGTCCCAGAGGCCTTCTGGAGGCCGGGAAGACAGGCATCCGTCGCGTGGAGCACTTCAGCGGCACAGAGAATTAATTCATTGAGGGCTTGACGGGAATGAGGTCTCGGGGTAGGGGGCTGATAGGATGTAGGGTCCGGGCGTTATGGCATGGGGTTTGGTGTCTCAAGGTTCCGGAGCTACGCAGGACCGACTTCAAAGCTTCGGCAACAGATGGTAGCTGAACTGAGACCGAGGGTCTACCGCATTCTTTCATAGTTTTGACCTCTCCATTAATCGATGGAGGCGGCTCCCCAATCCGAGACCTGGGCATGGGTATTCTCAAGACGATTAAACGGCACAGTTCAGAGCGAAATGGATGTTTCTGATAAGGTTTGATTTTTGGAGCAGGTGGCCCTGCAGTGGCAAAGTGTTCCGTGTTGGAACTCAGATCGAGTACTGGCCGCCTGCAGTTTCCCGGACTCTTCGCCGAGAGCGATCTTTCCCTTTCTTTTCAACCTCCCCTTAGGAGCTGAGGTTTTTTGCGTGTGAGCCCCTTCGGACTTTTCTGGATAAGTCTTGAACAGGAATGCCGAAAGAGTGAGCTTCAGGAAATTTCCGTCCCTGGCAGCCCTGCCATGCAGCCCCGGACCGAGCATGAGGATGAAGCCTACTCTGCACCTTCCAACAAAAGCCCTAATCTTTTGTAATTGGGACAAGTTATGTTATAGCCGCCCATTACGTACCAAAATTGTGTAGGGACTATAGGGGCGACTACTACCGCGACGTGTTCGCACTGTATGTTGGCAGCAAGTTGTCCACGACATTGCTTCCACAGGTGCGCCAGCTTGAGTGCACGAGCCCTGGAAGCCAATCCACCTAAGCCAGAGACTCCCAACACCCTTGCTCAAGGGATAAACTTCGGATGAGCCCTAAAGCAGGCAAGGATATCAATTCAGGGCGTTTTGGAGTGTTTGGGAAGCCCATATCCATAGCAAATCAGCCACAGGCCAATGGGAATGGTTGTATCAACCGCTGCAGTTTGATATTGTTGCCTCTCGGCGGAGAATTGCCCCTCCATCGGAAAGTTCTGTGGTTGCAGATCAGATATTTAGATGGGTTGAAGATCTGATCTTCTGGACATCCCGCTTGAGGTGGGGATTTCGGCTTCGAGGCATCTTTACTAAGTCATCAGGCTTTGAGCGGTCGTCCAGAGTGCCTGAAGCTCAGTCGCGGGCTTCAAATTCAAAGCCTTGGAGACTATTAGATCATCGATGATTGCTTCCAGCAGTGCTCCAGCAGCTCCGAAGAAAGGAAGCCGAAGGGGTAGAAATGCAAAGCTTGATGTTAAAGCCCCCAAACCCAGGCCAGCGGTGTCACGCGAGAGGGATAGAAATCTGCCTAGGATAGGCAGGGGTCCACAAACGTGCACAACAAGGGTTATGCAAGTTATGTCAAGTTATGTAGGTGTCTGAATACTCAGCATGAAATTCACCGTACCATCCCAAGTCCTATTTTGTTCATTTCTCGCCACTGTATGCGTGCTCCTTCCAGAGATGGTTTCCACTTCTCCGGCGCCAGCAAAAGCGCAAGAAGAACGCAGCAGGAACAGTGTTGCATCTGGAGTAGTATTCTTTGTGAACAGACCTCTCCTACGCCATGTTGGCCTAACGCGTCGTGTGCAGGGCGCAGTACCTGGCAACAGACTTGCATCCTTGACTTCTGGCTTTCTACCACACGGACACGCCATGCATTCGCAACAGAGCACAATACCAAGCCGTTTGCTTCGGGACCCCAGTGTTTGTAGAGAGCCGCAAGAAGAGTTCCTAAAACTGGCGACACGGAGCTGAAAACTGTCGGAAGTTTCGCAGTTGGGGATCTCAAGGGCTCGGCTTCGTGCTGGTGCCGTAACTCTGATCTGTTCCAGGAAGAGCATTCTCAGCGTTGGTGCGTTCATTTGCGGATGTCCTACCAGTGGCTCGGCTTGAACTTCGGCTTGCCTCGTTGCCAGGTTCTGCTGGTGAAATCAGGGTTTGGGTGTCGGAGCCTGCATAATTAGTAGTAGTCAACACCCATCAACTTACACGCTAGCGGAGGTTGGAGCAAAACTCTTGAAACTGTTGCAAGCTAATGCTACTTGTAGAATTGCTGAGCGGCCCGAGTTCACTTGCCGCGACGCTTTTTACATTCTAGAAGGAAGCAAACTAACCTTGCCAACGGCTTCTGTGAGGATCTACCCACCAAGCTGGTGCCGGCGATTTCTTCGAGCCTTCCAGGACAGCAGAGCCTGACGGTTTACACCTTTGAGGTGAGGCTTTAGGATTTTGGGGTTTAGGGTCTTGGGGCAGATGGCATGTAAAGTTGGCCGATGTCTGTGAGATGGTTGAACCAAGAGTCAGGTACAGGTGTCCACTCCTTGCTTTTGTTAAGAGGACGGTCTTACGGGGCCACGTCACTGAAACACAGCAGTCGGGCGAGTGTTTCCGGCAGGCACTCACAGATGTTATTAGGTCGCCCTGGCCCTTTGCCTCATCCACTCTGGAAGGACGCAGCATGGGACGTGGTCTTCCAGCCCTTGCAGCATGTGCACAAGCCATTCGTGGACGCTTGAGGAAAACAACTCATCTGGCTTCCGCCGAGCTCCTGCAACAACGTTGAACCACCTTGCAACTCTCCTGAACCGTCCGCCATGCAGACAGCTGAAACCTGCCAGGTCGTCCCTTGGCACAAGTCGAAAGAGGGCGGAGTCTCGTTCCAGGAGGACTACACGCCAACTTCGCCAAGACCACAAGATATGAGACCTGCATGGACTCGATGCCGATTATCGGTAACTTACCAAAGGGACTGCGCGAGGCCGGCATAGTGGAACTGGAGATCTCAAAACTTGAAGTTTTGACTTTAACACGGGAGGTACCCCGAAATGGGTATCAATAAAAGGTTGGATGTGGGCCGAGGATTCTCTCTCTGATGGCTGAGTCAAACCGAACTGTGCACCAAACATGTGGCTGTAAAATCGCAGCATTGCAGCTTCTGAGGACATGATCTTCGACCGCCCGAGACACAGCATGCAAGTGAAGGCTCTGCCCTGGTAACACTGATACTCTTCTTCGACACTCCCAGGCGGATTTTGTAACCCCGGCAGGTGGACATGAAGCGGCCGAAAGAATGGGGGTACTTCGGCACGGGAGCTCAGACGGTGTTGCAGGTTCGGCAGGTGCTCACATGAAAATTCGCTTTGCTTCGTACATCTGACTGCAGATCTGAAGCTAGTCTACTACGGGTTCTCCTCGTGGCTGCAGGTTATAACGTAGAACGAGGCTGGTTCCAAGTTGGGTTGCCCTGTCCCAAATCTCCCACCTTCATCCTGCTATCTGAAGCGCAGCAACACAGCATGAATCACGCGTCGGCAGATTTTCTGTTGAATCCAAAGCCCAGTCCAGTCCACTCCAAAAGCATCCTTTCGAGGTATCAACCAAGCCTCCCTGGAGCTGGCTTGAGCGCTTTTGAGGCTAGGAAGATGGTTTCAATGGCCTTCGTACATGAACGCCGGCCTTTTTGCGCTTCAAACAGTTAAAAGCTGTGCGTCACGACTGGCGATGCAAGGCCCGTGTTTCTAAGCTTTAGGGCGGTAGGTAGAGTAGTTGTTATTCCAATTCTGGCTGTTTGCAAGTCCCCACTGAAGGTGCTGCTAAACTTGCTTCCTGAATCCTGTAAGAACGTATTTGTTGGTTGCTTGGCATTCGCCTCCGATCACACCGTGAGGTGGAGACAGCCCAAGGTTTCCTCCGAAGGTTGCCTCAGAAATTACAGTAATGGGCTGCCGACATGTGATTGGCGACCGTTTGCAGGGATCTGCGAGTGCTGCTACGCATCTGACGATAAGTTGCTGGGGAGCATCGTCCCGTCAATGCCAAGACCGGCCACGAGCAGCGATCTCAGCCCAAGCCTCGAAGGAACCCGAGCGTCGAGGCATCGATGCGAGCTGACAAACAAGGAACATCCTTGCGGGCGTTTCACGGCTCGAAGTACACTTTTAGATTTTGGAGATTTTCGCAGCTTTTTTCTCGTGCGTGCCATGGCGATCCAAAACCAGGCAAGGCTTGAGGGAAATCTTTGCCAAAGCCATTTTGTATCTAAGCGCGGCATGCGGTGATCATATAGGGTCTTACATTATGTCCGGCCCTTGAACAAGGAAGGGTCTTCAGTTCCCAGGGCCGGTCTGTAAGTTTGAGAACTCGGCAGGAGGAGATTCTGCGGGGGTTTTGTTGGAGATGAGGGATTTTTCAGCTGGGACTTGTACATATGTAGCAACAGTAGCTAGTACCTCCAGCAATGACAACAGTTGAAACAATCGAACCGATGGCAGTAACGGTGACGATGATGATGATGATCGGGGAACATCCATAAGGGGATTGAGAATAGTAGCAGCTTAGTAGCACTTAAGTAGTGGTCACCAGCAGGGCTTTCAAGCGACTCAGCATTTGAGATGACCGTAGCACGGTGAGGCTCGGACTTCCCAGCCAGCCGCTAGATTTTGAGCACTATAGAGGCCTGAATAATTGGTCATGACATCCCTTGGTAGCCCGGCTATACTTGTACCGTGCAAGGCCTTGTTATTGATGCAGTCTTGCTGCCTTTGTTGAAGGCGTTGCCATGTTGCGAATGATCTTGAACTCTCTTCTAAAGGCTGCTTTGGTTGGGTTTACAATTTAGGGCTCCAGCCAAGACTGTGACACTTTTACCTGGGTCCCATTTCTTAAGGCCATGGAAGAGCTTTGGGACGGTAGGATTCCAGACTGGCCACGTGAAGGCGTTCGTCCTTCCTTCAGCACAGCCGGCACCGCCCTTGGCCAGGCAGGCAGTCATGGGTAGTGTTTCTCGTCCGTTGTGCCACCGTCGTTCGTATTTTCGGGTTGAAGCACCAAGCGTAGGAAAGACTAAAACACACCAAGACGGATAAAGCTCCAAGATGCATGACTCATCAAACCAGACCACACTGTAACGCCCCATGTTGGCTCTCATGCGTGTCTTTTAAGACTACGAGCTACTAGACGCTCTTTGTCGGAAGTTTCTGTTCATGTTTCGCTTGGATTGAACGCCTCGCTTGCCGTGGCCGACAGCTTCCACCATGCAACAAGAGACGTGTGGCTCTCGGTTTTGCTGACATTGAGATGCAGGTATGCACATCATAGATCTCCAGCAAAGCTGGGATGTCCGAGAGCAAATCAGCGGTTAAAATCCTTGAACCTAGTCCAGCCCCGGACATCTGTGCACTCCACAGGCTTTCGTCCAAGTCTGTGCGGGCAGAGCACGGGATTTCGGAACGAGGCAAGTTCTCTCGGTTCTGCTGCGATTTTTGGAGTGCCTCGCGTTTAAGCTGCATGACCAAGCTGCTCAACTTGGTGATGTGGTTTCGCTTGCATGCTGCTTCAAACATGCTTACATCTGGACGCAGACCCTTGGGCACTCATTAATGCAGGAACCAAGAACAAGGTTTCTGATCGCACGACCGCAAATCCAAGCAGGTTGCAGGCGCACCTCAAAAGCGCACAAGAGAAGCCCGGAAGCCAGTTTCCGAGAAGCCCGGAAGCACAATTCGAGAAGAAGGACGACACCGAAAATGATGGTTTGCCTGTTTGGTGATCCCAACGTTTGCCTAGCTAACTAATCGTTTACGTATGTGTTATGCTCCTCTCTCGCCTCTGCCCTCTCATGCCTCCATGCGTCCAGGTGCACTTCTTGCCATGGCTGCAGCCACCGTTACAACGGCGCGCTCCGGGGTTTCCCAGCATAGCCTTTCTGCGTCTTGAACTTGAATGCTGAAGGTTGAGGTTTACCATAGCTGCTGATTGTTTTACGGTGTTAAAGAAGATGCGGCATCACGAAGTATCTTCGATCTGCGTGCCATTGCGCAAGCAGCCTGAAAGGCGCCACATGGTAGCAGCTGCCACCTGCTTTGGTCACGCGCAGTTTTCATCTTTCATTTCCAATCCTGCTGAAGCCTACTTGTCGCCGAGACCAAACAGGAATGACAAAAGAGATCCGTATGGATCTGACGATCTATGTCTGGACGTCGCATCTGAGTATCAAGCAGAGTATACTCGGGTTTAGGGTCAAGCAGTCAAGCTAGCGTTGAAGCTCTGGTGACTGGATCTCGAAGCACAGCCTGCACTCAGATAACCTCGTCCCGTCGTCGAGTGGCACGACGTGCGACTGAGGACAGCACAGGTTGTGAATGCACGGGCTTCCGAAGTTTCAGGCTTGGGGTTTCGCCCCTTGCATCTTGACCAATACTTAGCTTGATGGACTCTATTTTTCAAGTAGGCCTTACCCATCTGTTTCCATGTCCAGAGATCTCGAAGCTTTGGCTACGCTGGAGTCTTGGGGGTTTAGGAGAGTGATTGTGCTCGGAAGGAGCCCCAGAATTATTTCGAGGCTGTTGCCGACAGCCCAGGGCCAGACGGTAATCTGGGTTTGACGCGGCTACCGTCCTGGACGAGTCGAGGAGTGCCAGCACTTAAGCACCAAGAGTATTGAGAGCAAGCAGCTTCACACCGTAGTTGGATGTACTTGCCCGCACTCAGGTTCTCTCGGCCACTCGCATCCAACAGCGCGTGGCACTGCGTGCGAAAGAGGACGGAGCGGGTGGTGAGGAGTTGGGCTTGTGGATTCTTTCGGATCTCTGGCTTCCTCCGCCTAGCTTCCAATTTGATTCATGGACAATTGAGGCACTAAGCCGCTCAGCGCCAAACCCCAAAACACAGCCACACCTAAACCCTAGGCCCTAGGCCGCCTTCGCCTACGAAGTACAATGAGAGGCCACGATAGAGAGCCCGAAGCTGTGACTGAGACCTGCCTTTCTGTTTGGTGGTTGTTGAGACTTGAACTTCAATCATCTTCAGTATACAGGTCTGAATACGCGGGCCCAAAAAATAGCCCCGGTTTGCATTCCCAGACGCAGATGCACCAAAACTGTCCGCTGCTCACGGCTTCGCCCATTCTACCGAGTTGTCTGGAACTGGAGTCTGCAACACCAGCTGTGACTTCGAGGCTTGACACCTACCATAAGGTCAGCAGCGGCTACATAATCAAGAAGTCTTGCCTGTGTCTTTGTGGAAGAGCGTTTTTCTATACCGTTTAACTATAGATACTATAGACGCCTATGTGAATCGGGTTCAAGATGGTTCCAGGCTGAGCCGCAGTTGAGCATGTTGCCTTGTGTCCGGCGCGGCTACGCTCGATCCATGCTCCGGCTGACCTCAAACATCAGCAACAAGCACAAGTGCAAAGCTGGAAGTGATAAGTGCACCAGTGCAGAGATTGTTCCAATAAGGACGCGCACGGGCGAAGAAGTAGTCTGGCTGCTGCGGCCACAGCTGCAGCCGTTGCCAGCTCAGCGTGGTCAAAGTGTACTCTTCTCTGCACCTGAAACGTCGGTGTCGTTCTAGCACAGTCCCGACCGGGGAACTGGCTGGCGGTGATTTCAGATTTGAGCTTGGCTTTGGGAAGCTAGACTGGCTTCAGTGGGTTCAGGATGGGAGTTCAGGCCCAGTGCATTCCTCCAGCGTGACTGTCTCACAGACCGGAAGAGGCCCCATGCCGACGGGATCATCAAGCGTGCCAGCACCCATCGGACAACAACAACTTTGAACATTAAAGCCTTGTTGTCGAGGATTTCAAGAGCGTTGCGCACACATGTCATCTTGTTGCGATGGCATCGCCTCGACAGCTGATGCTTACGAGCCCTCCCAAGCCCGAGACACGGCTTGATTACGGTTGACAGGCCGGGAAGGAGTTCAAAGAGAGGAGTGGGCTGCGGGCTGCAGGGTAGTTTTGCGCTAGGCAGTGGAGGCCAAGGAGTCTTGGTGCCTGGACGCCTTGTGTATCGATCCTTAGGGCTTCCTTGTTGAGTGCTTGAAAAACCGCTCTTGGATTCCTGGTTTGGTCTCAGGATACCATACCTCCCGACGATGGTGACTGCTGCTCCGACGGTGCAGCTGTAAGAGGACCACTTTGACATTGGCGGAGTACATCTAGATTATCATTGGACTTTAGAATTTTTAGATTTACATTGCAATAAAAGATACTGAACGGTAACGAGTATCAGAAGGTGATGACTGATTCTTTAGATACTATATCCTTCCAACATTGCTCAAGCTTGTACGGCTTCGCAGTCGCTTCATATTGCAGGAGATGTTGCGGTGGTCGTGGACGAAGAGGCCTGAATGCAAACCCGCAACAGCTTTTCTCGCATGGTGTCCTATCACGTTCAAGGTCAGGGTTGCAGTTGCCTTTGATCGCTCAGGCAGACGACAGAGGAAGCAGCCTCGCTTCTGCGTCCGACGGCGCAATGTGGGCCGACGCCTTCCTGCAGTTTTCTTTCGATGCCCTTCAGGACAATGCTGCCAAGAAGCCTAAAGCACCACACTTCGACAACTCCAACCACGCGAACAGTGCTGCCACACAATCATACTTACTTCAATTCGACTTTGCGGCTTCCCACAGACAAAACTGGCAGCCGGCGCTCAGGTACGGCCAAGCATCGTTCTCAGGCACTTTGAGCAGGGGTTCAAGCGAAGACTCAGCCCGTCCTGCGCCGTCAAGTGGCTGAGTTCCATTTGTAATGAAGTCTCCGTTCTTGCACCCGTGAACGTGACTGAAGGGTTGCCAATGGGCTCTCCGACTCATTAGGAGTAGTCCTCGAAATCAAAGACCCTTCTCGGGTCCAGAAACTCCTCTTCCAAGAAGATCCGTAGACCTCTTGCCTCCCGGCTCGGGTTTGGGCTTTCGAGCTTGTCAGCGGTTAAAGCAAAAGGAAGCAGCATAATCACAGCATGGAGCGATAGAGAGAGAGAGAGAGAGAAGAAAAAAGAGGTGCGCGAAGATGTTCTTGAACGCCTATCTCTATTTGTCTGTCTGTCTGCCTATCTATCATTCCCTATCTATCTATCCTGCTATCTTTCTGCACCCCCTGGTGGATCCACACCCTGTGTTCCAGAGAACTTGAAATTGGTGTGTACAGTCAATTGCCGTGCATATCGGCTTGCCATCATCGCAACAGAAGCGAACACCACGCTCAAGTGGTGCGCTACGTAGTATGGAAGGGTTTTAGCCTCCAGCGGATCAAACTCAATCCCTTTCTTGCGAGCTTGGCCCTGCCTTTGTGTCTTGAGAATGTATGCGAAAGCCGCGCAAACGCTTGTGAGTTTAAGATCAGTGCATGTCGTATACCGTCATTAGATGCTCATGACACGGTATTGAACAAGGAATGCGCAAACACACATAGGAACTACTGGTGTCTCTCCTTGACTTTAAGTCCTGATATGGATCGTTCAGGGTCTCCTGATGAGCAGAAATGGATGAAAGTCATGATCATACATGGAAGCAACAGCGGTCACATTGTATCATTCGCCACATTCGTCAGATCAGTACACTAGCCTATGTAACAGCTGCATGAGCAGCGTATGGCATGGATGTTGGAAGTACAAGATATTACGAATGCTGTGGAGAAGCAACTCGCAGCATGAGCCATATTTCTTGCGAAAATCCAAATATGCCATTGCAAGCTGCCTAGCTATAAGCATAATTACATTGCATTGTAATGTATTGTATTGCATGCATGCATCGATGCATATGTGCGTGCATATGGACTATATACATTATGGAAAGCTATATGCACACTTTCAGGCAACAAGAGCGACAGAGAGAGTGTCATTTTCCTTTTCAGGGGGGCAAACGAGGTCAAACGAGACAGTTTCAGAGAGCAAACAAAAGTCTTCGATGTGTTTGGGAAGTACTAAGTAGCACATCGTCGAGCAATGCGACAATCGGAGCCGCAGTGTGGATCTTGTGTCCGACATACTTCACGTGGAATTGGGTTCCAGCATGTGTCAGTCTGCAAAGGTAATGCCCAATCTCCTGAAGCCAACATGTTGCAGGAACTTCGGCCGGCTTCTTTCGCCGTCCCAGGACGGCCACACGGATCACGTGCATGCACAAAGGCTCTCGGCTGGAGGCTGCGGTGGCTCCTTGACCCAACCGTCGAGAGGAGAAGAGAGCCTCGGGGTGCTGCGACTTCAGTGGGCACAGAGCCTTCTGACTTCTAAGTGAAGTGCTTCCCAGCTTAGGCAGCTTGACATACTTCATCAGCCACAACTGGTCAACGCGACGAGTTGAGAAGTTTTTGGCTTTGGCAGCACCTGCCGCAATTAATGTCAATGGAAGTGTTCGGACGATGGAGTCAGCTTTTCCCAGCCTCCGCACTTCAAGCACAAACTTGGAACCTACATGAGCCTACATGGCATGTCTCAAAGTCTGCCCGAGACCAGTGAAGTGCTGCATGGTGTAAGAGGTTTGGGACGTTTGGGGTTCAGGTAGAGGCTTGAGAACTAGGAGCGGTCTTACCTAATAATCGCTACAGCCCAAAAGAGCTTCTTTGCATCCTCAGGCACTGTACTTCAACGGCCCCGCTGCCATCGTCACCAGTGTGTGTTCACAACTGGTGGCCAAGTTTGCGACGGCAATTGCTTTGTTGTTCAGTCTAACGGTTGAATACTTCGAGAGCCGCTGCAAGCTCTTCAACGCATATGTGAGGTTGTAACTAATAATAGAGACTTTCAATTTGCTTGTGCTGACTGTCCTGGCAGATTTGTTGAGAGCGTAGGCTTCTTCTGAAGGAAAAGACTTACAGCACATGCCTGACCAGCCTCTCATGAATGGACCCGCGGAGGTAATGTTCAGTTTGGTTCTGGCTGGCGTGGTTCCCCGTGTCACGACAAGCAGGGCCGAAAATGTGTGCGTTTGGTGCACCCTGCTCGGAGCGGTCACGTTCTGGATTGCCGCCCGTCTTAGTCTTCGGAGTTTGGCTGTAAGCTTTGGCGTAAAAGCCATGGGAGACGTGCAGCCCTGAAGGTCCTCCTCCTGTGGCACGAGATGGATGCTCGTCTACAGTTTCGCAGGCTGAGGGTCTTCTTCGACAAGATATGTATCAACCAGAACGACACCGTCGCGAAGCAGGACAGAGTTCAATAAGCAATGCTTAATGCACTTATGGCTTCTGGGCCCCTCTGACATTTCGCAGGAGGGCATCCAGAGTATCGCGGCATACCTGCAGCAGTCAGAAGCCTTGCTGGTCCTGCTCTCCGATGTCTACCTGGAGCCTCGAGAAGATTTTGAGTGTGGAGTCACGAGTCGGAGGGTGCTGTTGCCGCTCTTGTTGCACAGAGGCTTCCCAGAATTTCCGCTTCGCCTTGCAAGGGTTGCAGGGCGTGTCGGCTAGTCATGCGCAGTCGCGTTCCTTGCGGCTTTTCGTTCCTGGCCAGGACAAGATTTGGACGGTCTTCGAACTCACAGCGTCGGCCGGCGGGAAAGGAACTCTTCGAGAGTTTGCAGTTTCAGGAATTCAGGAGCCGGTGCTGGTGATTCTCGCTGCGTGCACTATGCGCACTCTCGTGAAGCCGTGCCGACGTTTCGCAGAGTGTAGGCACGTCGAATCACTGAACCAGTCGGACCAGGACGGTTTGATTCTGGCTTAACTCTCAACCTCTCTACTGCAGGGACTCCAGTGGTCTTAATGGTTGGTACTGACAGCCCCTTATAATCTCGTTTTAGTATACAAGAAAGCGCTTCCAATCATTTGAGATACATGTCTGTATTGGCCTTATCAACTCTGTTGTAAACCCCTACAGAGCCCCGAATAAACCCATGGAAGACCCGGTAAAACCCAAGTGTCTACACAGCCCTCATAAGCTCACCTTGTTGGCTCAGGTTCATAGCATTGAAGCCAAATGCCCCAGTCATTGTGCAGCCACTTTCCTTGGCGACGATCGTACCTGGTCGGAGAGACTTAAGAGGTTTCAGGGCCTGTAGGCCTCTATGGCATAGTGCGCAGAGTTACGGTTAGAAGTAGGGTTCAGAGATTTCGAGCTTTAGGGCCTCAGGGTTTGATCTTGGGGCTGCCTTTGGGCATTGTCGTCCCAAGACAACCAGGATGCCCAGTAGTACCCTTATTCCTTTTTTGCAGTCCTAGGTTCCTTATAAAGTTACCCAATACCAAAAAGAGATGCCTTTTTATTTTTAGGTTACTGGGTATCCTAGACAAGGATCCCAGAAACCTCGACCGTGAGATCCTTACTGGGTGTTTGGTGAGGTGTTCATGCGTGTTTCCAGCGTTGGATCACGAAGTCAGTCGAGAAGGGTTGGGCTACATGTAGCCTGTGGCCTGAAGCCTCTACGTCAAGATGCAGGGATCAGAAGTGTTGGGGAGACATGTTTCGCACAAGAGCTTCTGGGACCTGGAGGTTGATGATTATGGGATGCAGTTGGGGTGGATGGCACTGTCGTGCAAGCCCCGAGCTCCCTGACTACCAGAAGCCCCAGCCCGAA